CCGTTATAGTCAGTGATTCAAGCACTTTGTCATTTTGCCGAGTTTTCAATTAACCAGCAAACCGCGAAGCTCATTCCGGCCGTACGTTAGTTAAGCAAACAATTGTGTGCATCGAAAGCGGCGCCGTCTGTCCGTCGAACGTTCAAATAATCGCTTTCAAGTGGCAGTTGCATTTTTTTCAATTTCCCGTCCGGCCGGATTTCGCCATTGTCTCGCGCGCGCTCATTGTTCTTCCGTTTGTGATATTCGTACATTGTGTTGACCGCAATTTCGCAAATGGTCACGTGCGGCCGTCAACCGTTCAATATGCTGCCAATGGCGCCGATTAATCCCTTTGTCGTTGGCCTAACACCCACTTCAATGGCAGCAGCAGCTGCAGCGGCGGCGGCCGCCGTTGCGGAGTCAACGACGCGCTCCATAGGCAGTGGCACAGCCACAACAACGGTGGCAACGGCAACCGTAACGACTGCAAACATCAAACCAAAGTTGGCGTTCAGCATCGATTCGATAGTTGGCAGCAACAGCAAAAAACGCGATGACGGCGNCAACGGTGGCAACGGCAACCGTAACGACTGCAAACATCAAACCAAAGTTGGCGTTCAGCATCGATTCGATAGTTGGCAGCAACAGCAAAAAACGCGATGACGGCGATCCCACGCAAACAACAACGAATTGTCGACCAATACGTCCTACCGTCATCTCACCACCACTCTCCTCCTCGCAACGCAGCGACAGTCCAGATGAACGTCCAAATGGCGAGCGCGATCGCGATCGCTTACTGCTCCCGTACGAGCGTCCGCCCAGTCGCGTCAGCCTTAGCCTCAGCGAAGACTCCCATCATTGCCAACAACCATTAGAATTAAGGAATAGCTTTACTGTGAATTATCGCTCGGCAGCGGATCTGCACCACACTGCACTCGCACGCCCGCCCATGGGTCTCATCTATTGTCGTCGTCGCTCGATATTGGATCAATCGCCGGAACGTGATTGCGCCAGTCCCCTACTGGCGGGCAGATGTCGCACACGATCGCGTTCACGTTCGCCCACTCGCCTAACGCCACAAANCTTACTGCTCCCGTACGAGCGTCCGCCCAGTCGCGTCAGCCTTAGCCTCAGCGAAGACTCCCATCATTGCCAACAACCATTAGAATTAAGGAATAGCTTTACTGTGAATTATCGCTCGGCAGCGGATCTGCACCACACTGCACTCGCACGCCCGCCCATGGGTCTCATCTATTGTCGTCGTCGCTCGATATTGGATCAATCGCCGGAACGTGATTGCGCCAGTCCCCTACTGGCGGGCAGATGTCGCACACGATCGCGTTCACGTTCGCCCACTCGCCTAACGCCACAAACTTCCCGTGAACCTAATATAACTGTGAATCGTAGTCGCACGCCCTCTCTTTCGCCCACACCACCACACAGCCGCGCCACACCACAATCGCCTCAAACGCCAGGTAGCGCCAGCGGCAGCATAGGTGAGCTTAATAAGCGACCCATTCATGTGCCTGGCATACCGGCCGGTTTGATACGCCCTTTACCAATGCAAGCGCCACAAAGTCTTTCTCTACTTCAGTCAGGCAGTGGCGGCGGGGGCGGTGCAGTTGGACCCGGTGGGGCGCCCAACTCGTTAGAGGGTGGCAACGCGTCTGGCAACCCTGCTGTTGTGCATCCTTTAGCGCCAACGATACCCGGATCGGTACCGCCAGCACCACCACAACCACACGGTGGGCCTCCGCTGCCGCCATCTGCATCTGGTGTTGTTCCACCTCCACCTCCGCCGCCTAATCCACACTTCCTGGCAGCGCAATTTCAAATGGCCGCTGCATTAGCGCATCATCACCATCAGCAGCAGCAGCAGCAACAACAACATCATCATCATCCCGCAGCGCATTTGCCGCCAGGCCATCCAATGGCATTATTCCCGCCCGGGCCGCATCATCCGCACTTTGGCGGGCCACACCTGATTCGCGACAGTTACCCGCTCTACCCGTGGCTGCTGAGTCGACATGGACGGATATTTCCACATCGATTTCCCGGTAGTAAGTTTACAATACTTTACTATTGAGTAAGTTATCTTTACTTGAATTCGTTGAAGTGGAATTCGCATAGGAGCAGACATTGCTAAATTAGAGCTTCCATTGATATAGGTTTGCAGAGACATTTTAACAGACATTTTCAACGTGGCAAATTACAAATCATAAAATTTCCGTAAATATTTCACAAACCGAGGAATTGACTACACAACTTACACAAACACTCGAATAAGGTCACAGTCCTATCATTAACATCTTTTTTTTATTAAAGGACTACTCTAATTACGTTGTTGATTAGTT